GAATACTGTTGCCACTTGCCACTGTTGGTGGCAAAACACTTGCGCGTTTCAATCAACAGAGGCAGTTTATCCGCGCGTTTCAATCAACAGCAGCAGTTTATCCGACAGGTGTTGCCGCTGCGGACCCGAATGGAAGGCAGCACCATAGGGATTACGCAGGCATTGAGATCTTTTGTTCGGAACGGGCTGATTGAGGCAGCAGACTCGTTAATTGAAGTGTCTGGAGAAGTTGAGAGCAGCATCATAATGAAGGAGGAGGATGATAGCATGGTGGGGCTCGTGACAAGGGTTGGGTAGTTCAACGTCTTCAATGTGGTGCGATCAACTCAATTGACGGGCAAAATTGATCAATTTTTTCAACTACACGGGCCAAATGCTGAGTAAGCTGTCAATCCAACTCAATTTCCTCGCCAAATTGATGGAATGGAATTGATGACCACCCTGGGAGGCGGGGAGGCGGCGTACCGGAAGTGAAAGTGCTCATGACATTTTTGGCCATATACTGCGCAGGGCGACGGAGAGATGGCTACACGATATAAAGAGGCTCATAACGAAAAACAGCGCACGCGGGCGCATGCTTCGTCATAATGAGTGTTGGGTCGTTATTAATTTGCTATGCGCACGCGAAAAAGGAAAGACACCTCAGTTAATGCTTGGCGCTTACTGTCTCAAATACGGTAGTTAACTAGCATTAGAATCCCACTTGGTCGCGTGATTTTTGTGACAGGGCATGGTGCTGGAACAATGACGCGTGAAAATTGGATGCCGGCATAATCTGAAGCAGCCCGAGGAAAGACCCCATCGTACGTCAACGCCATGTTCTACGGCGAGTGCAGGCACTTAGCCTTATTTGACTAGGTGAATTTATCGTAGTTGTTTTGGCTCCTTTGCCCTGCCCTTGTTTTAACGTCTTTTGCAGCCTACATGTATCATTTCCATTCATACATGTGCATAGGCAACAGTGAATGATGGTGGTTATCTAATACGAGAATGTTCGTCTTTCTGGCACGCCAGCATAGCCTCCATCGGCTGGCTGTTGTCAACAGCAACACACAATGGAGCCATGGAGACACCATGGAAACCAGCTAGGCGAATGTAATTTTACTAGATAGATAATATACGCATCAATTTCCACAGTCACTCATTCATAAGATGCATTTCTAGACAGCATCTACACTACCTGTGCTGCCTTCGAAGCCCCGTCGGGAATTGATTAGTTACCAGACCATGACTCCACCAGGCTGTCCTTTAGGTCATCTGAAAACTCTGTCTCGTAGGGCAATTTTGTAATGACGACACTAGATGAGGCCCCGAAAAACATAACAGCGACTTTGACATAACGATCTACAGGCCGGTCGAACCAGTTCGGGCTCTGAGCAAATTTGGTTAAATGGAACGCGCTTATGCATTTCCTGTCTCCCTTGGCTAGGGCTTCGAAAATGTCGACTTCGCCACATCCTGTAGTCCAACAGCTGCAAGAATTATACTGGGCAGTGCGGGGGATACGGCCATTGAGGGCCCAAAGAGCTGGCATGTCGCCATTAAATCCGCGGTCACCATCCAATGGCATTTTGAAATGAAATAGAAATATCTTGTTGGCCCCTTCAAAGCCCTCTGAGTAGAATTAGTGCGATACGGACGACGGGTGAAAAGCAAGCAGAACCTACTGTACGCAACGTCACGGGCACGGGAGAATCCGCAACTATTGCCACATCTCTCAGCACTGAAGATGGAGAACTCTGTATTTGACGGAATGGAGACGTCTTTCAAAATCTGGGCAGAGCTGGAGCCTCCGTTTCCATCAGCGTTCAAATAGGAGAGCGAATTACCCCAGACGCTGTCAAGCAGTCATTAGTGGCATTTTCTTTACATTTCCTTGCTGTTTGCCACGGCAGAGGCCATACTTGTCAAAAAGACCGGAGCCCTGGCCCCCGTAATTTCCCAAAAACACGACATTTTGTGCAGTCCTTCTCTCGGCGCTGTAGTAAGCAACACGCCTCCACTCGCCACCAAGGGGGGCTGGTTGGTGGCTGGGTGTACTTGCTGGAGATGTCGATGTTGTCCACTTGACCGAGCCGACGGAAACTGGCCTAGTAGATTGCGGACCAAACCAGTTGTCTCTCCATGAGACCACCTGCCCGTTGATCGTTGCCACGACTGTATCTGTTCTTTCAACAGTGATCTGATCTGCCTTCTGCTTTTCCGGGTTCGACACTGTGTCACGCTTCTTTATTCTTGAAGTGTTGTACACCGCGAATTCTTTGAGGTGCAACGGTCCGCGGAAATGTAGCGACAGCTTTTCTCTCGTACTTGGCTGTCAGCCACGAACACCGCTTAGTAGAGGAAACCTACATCTTCGTCTAATGGTGCTAGGGGTCCTCGGAATGACTTTTGTCTCGTCTGACATTCGCCGTTCGCCCCCATACCGACAACCTCGTTGAAGCTCCCTTCACCTCCGATGTTGTTGTATGTAATTCGATGCACAGGGCTGCGGGGAAATTTTTGTCTTTCTCGTAAAGGACGGTCAGTGGTGCAATGTTGCGCTGAGACTGCTGGCAAGCCAGATGATAACAGCAAGGAAGGAAGTATCACCTTGTGCGGCCACATTGTTTGGCTTTGTGCGAGGCGGCCGAGCAGAATGGCGTTTTACAACAATATTATATAATGGCAATGGACAACTAAGAATATGGGTGACTAATACGGCCAGTTCTATGCTCGTCCTCCCTATATTTGGACAGCGTTTTAAAAAATCGTAAGTCCAGTTGTGCGATATTTAAGGCGGACGAGTGGCCACAACTATGACGAGCCGGTTTCTGACAGATATTGGGAAAGTGCTAAAGGCAAAGAATCTTCCTCCGCTGGTGGCATTGCGCCCTGACAGAACAAACTAGCAGCACAAAGGTGAGCTTTCCAACCCGAAGAGGACATTTTACGTTCAAAAGGTTTCATGCAGAGAAGAGAACAGCTATTGAGCTCACAGTTTGCTTGGGAACAAAGGAACTGTAGACTCGATATTTAGTTGTATTCAATCGATTACAGAGAATGTTTTGCCTGACAGCGAACATAGATAGCTTCTGGTTGTATTGAGAGTCTGGGCAATTATCTGCTCCTCCCCTGGCACTTATCCTACCATGGTTGAATTGGACCGTTGAAAAATCTCATTTCTATCGCGTAGTATATTTAAATCCATGCCATTATTATACGTATCTGCTAGAATGAATTTAGTAGGCCTAAAATACACTTTTGCTCTTTTTAGCGGAACAGTTTCTAGGCACAACATCTCAGCGGTCCAGAACATCCATACCTTGATAGCGATATTACATACACCTACATACCTAGTGTACAAGTACTATTAATACTGTATCATCCATGTATATGTTAATAGAACCCTCTTCTTCTGGGCCTCTTTTATCCTCAGTCTGACAAAGCTGCTCCGTAGGGACGCGCGGATTCACTGGAGGCAGCTAGGCATACTCGCATAACACAGGCAGCGTTTGATGATTGCAGGGGGGCAATCATACTTCGCCACAGACTTGCGTATTGTGATACACTCAAGTGATATCACATTTGCTAAAGTGAATATGTATCACACCTCTTTTCAGACAAGTGTGATATCACAATTGCTAAAGTGATATGCGTGACATGCCGCCGCAGAATTTTAGCTTTTGTGGCGGTTGATACATAAACGAACTCTGGGGATATGGGATATTTAACTAGAGAACGAATGAGTTACATAAATATGTACAAGAACCTTGAGAAGGTTGAATGCATAGGGGACCGACTGCGTGAAAGGCATATTAAGACTTTCGACGGCGGCATGGGTACCAGTATAATTACTGATACAAGCCTTTGATAGCGGCGGTGACGAGGACTCGGACACAAACTACGGCTGGTGGCAACTGAAGTCACAGTTAGATTGGTTCGTGATATCACAGGTGCTAGAGTGATATCACCCGTGCTAAAATGCTGGAGGAATATTCTAGCACACTTACTTACGTTATGTGAATATGAGTATGAATATCACTTTAGCGGGTGATATCACAATACTCAAGTCTGCTTTCGCCATTAATTCACTCCTGGTTCATCTCCTGATGCACTTGCTGTAACTAAGAGAACGATGTCCCAGGCTGAACTGGACAACGGCGGATCACATACTCAGCCAAAGCATCCTATGCTTTTTGTTTTCACATGTAATGTTAGCGACTCGTTGTGAAAGGCCTCTAGCGAGTTGATTCAAATAACTAGTCCCTGAGCGTTTTAGTCTACATGCGCCGTGACATAATAACAGCGCCTTCTATCTTTCCAATACGCCTCCACAGAAGGTTCTAGAATCAACCCGCTGGGGGAGCTAGTGGTAGGCGGCACAGCCGACATTCAAGCGGCTTGACCCATTGCAGACTGCACTTTTATGTCCTTTTTCCTATATTGCTAGGTCCCATCCACAATTCGTGGCTTCGCCGTGCAAACCTCGGGCACTCTTGAGTGAGAATCGAAAGCCAGCCCCACACGAGACTTCGGAGCTTATCCCTGGTGGAGCTGGTTGCCTTGAACCAGCCGGTTCAGGGCAGCGACAAGGGTCACAGAGGATCTAGGCTTTGTGAAATTGTTTCCATTTCCATGTTTTGGCATCGAAATATGAAGCAGAGCGGGGTGCTAGTTTGGCGGACCTGTTACTACCTGCCGAATTCGATGGTGAGCAACACGCATGGACCAGGCGCTGGGGTGGTGTGTAGCCAGTAGCTGACCGTAGCTGACCAATGGCCGCAGCGCC